TTTCAGATATGGTTCTTTCAGACACATGTGTAGCCTTGTGTAATCTAGTAAAATTATATTAAAATCACTACTAAAGAAGAAACCATAAGCAGGATGTGCTGCTGCTTCCATTCTGTTGCACGTCAGTGCTAAAGCATCAGGCTCGGTGGTGGACTTTTACACGTTCGATCACCTGGTTCCAGTCACGTCTGCCAGTACCAAAAAGCAGCAACTTTCACAGCAACTTTCTCTTCAAGTTGCTGTGGAAGGGCCTCTGACATTTCCAGGAAATGCCAACTAAACATGAAGTGTGAGAATGTCTCAGTCTGACACACTTAAAACAAAATACTTCAATATGGGTAAAGCAGATGTGCTGAACACAAGAATGTGTTTGCAGAAGTGTATTTAGTCTGATTTAGCCCTTGCCACCGATCTTTTTGTATTCATGCAGATACTCTCTTAAATTAACTGCATATACCAGATGAAACAGCTGAACGAGAAAGTAAAAATCTTGTGGATTGTTCATGATTACATGCCATACTTTTACCTGTTGTGGTAGATAAACCGTCATCTACAGCTACAGAGAACTCCACTGGAGAGGTAGGAGTTAAACCAGTTTTGGACAGGTACAGACAGGCCAGCTCAGTCTGCTTAAAAGAAGTCAGGGAGCCTATGTATCAAATGACGCCCTCAGATGACTGGGTTTACTTGATCAAAATGTTTCTAACTAGAAGTCTAAAACATTTTAGAGACCTCCCATTTTAACATTTCCATTATCTTGCTTTACGCCGTGATACTCCTGACCCTCTTCACGTACGTTTAGTCTTACCCCTTCATTATTTTTCTATCCCCAAGCATGGTGTAGTTGACTGCCTCAAAGTTGAATCAGCATTAGAAGTGCAGTAAAATATATGTATCACTTATAAAAGCAAGCATGTGACAGTTCCCGCAATAATGACTTAATAATATTAAAAGAAAAGGATAGCAGGGAAACGCTGCCAATGTTTCCTCTGTGATGAAAAATTCATTGGCTTGTGCCCTCTGTCTCTCAGCCTCCTCTGCTGTCATTTCCCCTCTTTGTCACTCACGCTGTAATGTGTTTCTCACTGCTACCATGCGTCAGCCTCGCCAAGCTGTTCCTGTCATACAGGCAAAGCTGACTTAGGGTATCCCATATTTTCTCCAGTTGCTATTCATTGGTGCTCTCCTCCTCCTCCTCCTCCACCCGCTGTCTCTGGCCTGTTGATGGGAATGCCCAATCTGTTGTTTTGCGGGATCAAACGTAACAGTAACAAGATTAAAAAGTCAAAGTGAGTTAATAGCATCTCTCCCATCAAAGGCTCATCCGATCTCTGATCCCTGTCTACTTGCAGTATCTGTCTAGAGTACAACAAACAGTACAGAACAGAACTTAATGGCCCGTTAAAGGAGAATAGATAACATGCGGTAACAACAATTAGACACAGAAGGGCAGAAGGGCCATAATAGGGAGGAGGTGATTGTGTGAATGGATACGTGGGGCGGTGGGGAAGCTGACCAAAACGGCATCTCCAGTCAACTACAAAGCAATAAACTGTTACACTATTAGATGAATGTAATATTAAAAAAAACAAAGCGAAAAAATCACACAACTATTGTTGTATAAATTGCGTGTAAAACAGCAGCATCAGTACAGATAGGTATAAGAGATACTAAAAGTATGTGAGTGATATAGGGACACTTATTTTATTTAACCAGTGCAGCTGTTGTGATAAATCACCCCTAGAAGATATACACATCTGATTACCAGTCAGCCTTGCTTGTAAAAGCTGGCAAATGTTTTAATGTGATTCCAGCATGCTATTTCCAAAAAAGTTAGGGTCAACATAAGAAAAACCCTAAAACATCTGGTGGCTCATCTTACAGCTACAGTTAGGTTGACTGGCAACAGGTAAATGATATAATATATTGCTGTAAAGTTAGACTCCTAGAGAGTGAAACATCCATGAAGGACTGCATGGGAAACTAATTGAAAAGTTTAAGGATTGCCACCTCGACTGTTTCTGCTAGATGTCTCTTCCTGTTAAAAGGGAGTTTTTACTTCCCACTGTCGCCAAGTGCTTGCTCATAGAGGGTTGTCTGATTGTTGATGGTTTTTTTCTCTATTAATGTAGGAGGTTTACCTTACAATATAAAGTGCATTAAGGCGACTGATGTTGTGATTTGGTGCTATATAAATAAAACTGAATTGAATTACATTTTGCAACTCATGAACTTGAGAATTTTCTTTGGTATGCAATATTATTAAAAGAGGTAGACAGGGAACTCTTTGTATGCAAAGGACTAGGCCAAAGACTAAGACTCACTGCATTGGAAACAAACACAATTCTGAAGTGAAAGTCTGAAGTAAAAATTCAAAAGGAACACTTTTGAAAACTATTTTAAGCGAACAGACAATCATTTATTGTTTTATTCAAAAATCCAAGTTAAACTCTGAAAGGCAAAGGAAAAAAAACACTTATGAACAAGATGGAAAATTCTACTGCTTTCTCTGGGTCTGAAGGCCTTTATTATGCACTGAGTTAAAGTAAAAAACAAAACTACTGTGCTGTGGTTAAAAAGTTTTAATTCCTTTCAAAAATAATGGAAGACGTGTCCTCCCAGCTGAGAGAGAGTCCATCCAGATGATCTGCAAACAGTTCAGAAGCCAGCATCTGTGATAATGAGGAAGTGAATTTGTGCACAGGGTGCAGAGGGTACTGGTAACTTTCACATCTTTAAAATCACCATTAATTCTGAATGAATATATATGCAGAGTTTTAGAACATGTGCTACCATTCATGTATTTTTCAGGAGGATGGCACTAGACCATTTACTGGACATATTATAACAGCGGGGCTACAGTAAAAGAATCCAGGTGTTAAACCGATCCGACTTAACTCTGAAACTGGAAATGTGGAAAGTTACGCAACTAAAATGACAAAGCAGAAGGCTGCGAATGGCTAAAGAGCTGAAATCTTATATCAAACAAGCACGGAAATACATTTGGCTCTCAAAACTGCAGTAATTGGTCTCTCCGGTTTCACGACACCACAGTGGCAAACATCCTCCTATCCCACTTTTTTTTTAAAGACATAAGCATATATTTTTTCAAATAAACAAAGGAAAACAATAACATCTCAGCTTTTTGTTTTGTTGCTGTTGTGCTATTATTAATTAAAATCTGGGTTAAAAGGTTTTGCAAAGCTTTGTTTTGAATTCTCTGTCAGTTACATAAAAGATGCACCTGTTTAAAAAAAAAAAAAGGTAATTTGATTAAATCTGCATGGCCAGTGAGAGTGAAAAAACATCACTCTCCCCAATATTAAAACCATTTCAAAAGAACATAAACTTTAGTGCCCTTATGGAGATGCATTAAAAACACTGTCAAACAGACACCACCAGCACAGCTTAAACCCACAGCTATGATCAGACTCTGGTCCAGCAGGGAGAGTGATGTGGTTCAACTGTGGCTGGATGGCTGGCTGGTTGGCCGGTCAGGCTACATTGGAATGCAGGGTCTTTTGTTTGTCTGAGAGAGGAGTGGGTCAGGGAGAGAATGCCATTGATGATTGCAGAGAAGAAGAATGAACCTCCAGGAAGTGTTCTCTCTCTCTCTCCCGACTCCCCCGCTCTCATTCTCTCTGTCTCTCTTTCCCTATCTTTTTTTTTCTGTGTGTGAGAACCTTCACCGTGCCGAGCCTCTCTCTGCTGAGGCCACAGTCCCCAGGCACAACCACTGCTTTGTCTTGCCCTGTGAACACACACACACACCCCTCCTCTACTGGGTGCCTACGTTTGCCAGGGCCAGGGAAACACAGGGCCACTGCTCCTATTCTTATCCACATCACTGCTCCTGCTTGGATGGAGTGTTTGTGTGGGCATCAGTGCTTGAATGGTGAATTGTTTTTTGTATGTGCCACACATCTGACTAAACATTTAGTTTGTCGGATGTTCAGCTATAAATGAGAAATCATCCATTCTCTTGCCATCTTTTTTAGAGAGCGTGACAGCGTTTCCCTTACAATTATCTGGAGATGACCTCGGTGCAGATATCCTCCTGTTGTACCAGTAACAAATGAACTAAAAATGGAATAAAGCGGTAAGTGGATAAGAATCTAGCGAGTGGCCCCTTCTGACTAGTGGCTGCCACCTCCCGTCACATTGCTCATTCCCCTCTGTGTCAGAAGCGCTGTGAGGAGCTGCAAATGGCCCTTTCAAAACGCACGACAGCTGGAACACAGGGCAAAGGTGACCGAAGCTGTTGGGGGAGCACAGAGAGGGACAGGATTTTTTTTTTTTTTTTGGGGGGGGGGGGGGGCGCACATGATGAGCAGCTGCACCAGCGAGTTGTCCTCCACCCGTGCCACCATCTCTAATGATTAAAGTGTCTGAAATAGATGACAAATTTTTAGAGTAAATCCTAGAAGTCACCTTACTTTTAAGACAGTTTAACCAAACACACACACACACACACACACACACACTGCTGGTTGTCTTGGGAAAAATAAATCCCCTGGGTGTTGGTTTGGTATCTGGAAATTCCAAAACTCAAGGCAGGCTTAGAGGATACTAAGTCCTTATAAGTTTCCCGCTCCCCCGAAAATACCACTGACCTTCTGTGCTACAATACATTTCTTTGATCACTTTATAGATACTTTTACAGATACCAATTCTGTTGGAGAAAGAAGTATTTCTTTTATTCACAACATGACCTGAAAGCCACAAAGAACATTTTTATGTGTGCTTGAGGTTTGCAAGTTAATTAATCACATTTTAAATCTGGAGCTTAACTTTAAACAGGCTCGAATACTCTTAAGAAAATCGTTTTTCTCCTATTAAACTGCTTCCTTGTAGCTTTACCGAACAAACAAACCAGTTTTAGTGTAAAAAAATGTCTACTGTGTCATGTGCAATTCCTCCATTTGTCCACTTCCATCATGCTGCCATACAAAAGGCGACACATCACAGTGCCCCCTCCCTCTTAATAGGACAGGTGTTTTAATAAGACAGCCAATTGATGCCCCCACCCTCCTCCTCCTCCCAAGTATTCTGCTACTTGCTGCCGCTGTGTGAATTCGCGGAGTAGTACAGAACTTATTGTGGCGGCGCGATATCGCGAGATTTGTGCCATTATCAACCTGCTTGACACACAGCAGCGCTGAGTGCAGCCTGCCTTCCCAGGGTCGGGACTGGAGCTCAAGAAACGACAAGGAGAAGCGAACATCTGGCCGCACATCATGAAAGGACACCGGGGCTTATAGGGACAAAAAGACGACGAAGCGGGCAGAAATACGTGTGAGTACGGCGGGATATTTTTTCTGTGTGTGTGAGCTTTGAAACGAGGAAAGCGAAAGTTAAAAGAGTGTCCCCGCGCCGCTTCGTTCAGCGCAGTTGGCTTTTTACTGTGCGAGTTCCTCTGCTGTTTAAAAGGCTCCCAGCAATGCGTTTCCCAACGCGGACGTGAAGCTCGCTCCACTGCGCCCTTGGCCCCTTTTTTCCTGCGAACACTTTTCTGCATCTTAGAAAAAAAAAATCTTAATTACGTACAAAATTATAAGACTTCTACGCAGCTTAACTTTAACTTACTTTAACTTGCCGTATCCCTCTTTCTTCTTTAAACCGACCCATTTAAACACGGTTGTGTGCGCGCGAGTCTTATCAGGGAGCAAAAAAAAAACGCAACAAAGCCTTTTTACTGTAACCCACGGATGCGTGATAAATTACTTAGTTTTGAGGAAAAAAAAGTTGTAAATGCCGTGGAATCTCGTGACAACAGTAAATCTGCTCTCCTCCCTTGAGGTGTGTATTTTTTATCTTCTTTTTGGACTGTGTAGCCCGGAGTTAACATATGGCATAAAGGGGAGCACAGCTGGAGGTAGCGTTTCCATTGCGGTGATGTCAGAGCAGCTGACTCCACAGCTTGCAGTGTAATTAGCAAACAGAGCACCAGTTTACTCACTCTGCACCGGTCTGATTTTGCTCACGTTGCCTCCTTCCCCCGATGGTCGAGTGCTGTCGCTCCCAGTCCCGCTTTGCTTGTCCTGTAAACACCGGTGTGTGTGTGTGTGTGTGTGTGTGTGTGTGTGTGTGTGTGTGTGTGTGTGTGTGTGTTGGCTATTTTTTTTTTTTCGGAAGCGCGAGGGCTAGGCTGTCGGACTACACTACTACAGACCGGAATACTTTGGATAATTTGGAGAGTGGATCCGTTTACACCGTGATACATGGGTGGGTGGGCGAGCGCAGCGCAGTGTGTCCTGCACCACTGGAAAGAATGTTGGATAAAGTTACTGATGCTGATCATTAGCTAGATGTTTAATCTTTCCCGATTAAGTCCCGAAAAACCTTGTAAACTTGCATTTGAAAGCACTTTATCGTGTGTTTGCTGACACTTTTGCGCAATTTGGCTCAAGTTATTTCCTTGTGTATGGTTTTGCTCGCTTTATGTGTCCTTAGAAAAAAGAAACGGCAGCTCAACTGTGCCCTCATTTCGTTTATCCCGTATCCTGTTTTTCCTGTTTTTCATCAGGTTATGAAGGAAGAATGGAGTTCCCAGACCATAGCCGCCAGTTGCTGCAGTGTCTGAGTCAGCAGCGTCACCAAGGTTTCCTCTGTGACTGCACTGTTCTTGTTGGGGAGGCTCGATTCAAAGCGCACAGAGCCGTGCTGGCCTCCTGCAGCATGTACTTCCATCTCTTCTACAGGGACCAGCTAGACAAAAGGGACGTTGTGCATCTCAACAGTGACATTGTGACAGCCCCGGCTTTCAGTCTGCTCCTTGAATTTATGTATGAGGGGAAGTTGGAATTCAGCACTCTGCCTGTGGAGGATGTCCTGGCAGCAGCCAGTTACCTCCACATGTACGATATAGTCAAAGTGTGCAAAGGCAAGCTTAAAGACAAGGAACTTTCCTCCCTGGATGAAAAAATGGGAGAGGGTTTGGGGCTCAGCTGTCTGGACAGGGAAAATTCCTCAGATGGTGAGCTGCACAGTAAGCAGCTCATTCAGCGACAGCCCCAGACACCGTCTCAGGGGCTTCACAGGGCCCCCCCGGCAGAAGAGTTTGACATGGACAACACTGAAGTCAGGCTGGCTGTCACAGATTGTGATAGGTCTATGCAGAGCAGGCAGAAGGCAAACGGTCACTCTGGCAGGTCCCCGGACCTTGTAGGTGTCAATTATGTGTCAGCAGAGGCCGAGCCCTGCGTCCAAACAGCTGGAAAAACAAAAGCTGATGTCAGTAGTTCCACCGTATTGCTGTCCCAGAGGTCCCGGGCTTCAGATGACATGGACTGTGCACTGGATTTGTCTTTCAAGCCTCTGTCTAGCAGAGATCCCTTACACCCCTCCTACGTCTCGGGACAGCTGGCCCTCGACAGCCAGCAGCAGGGCACTGAGCCACTTGTTAAAGACGAACACGACTTGCTGTCAGAGCAGGAGGACAGTGAGCCGATGAGCCCTGAGAGCCAGCGCTTTGGGAATAGTGCCAGGAGCTCAGTGGTGACAGGGTTCGCTGCCCTCTTCCCAGGCAACAACGGTTCCACAGCCGCCCTGCTCTCCCAGGAGGAGGACCTGATGGACGAGGAGGGGGAGGCCTGCAGAGGGAGGGAGAGCGCCCCAGGCAGGGAGGTGGATGGGAGGGGTAGACTGCTGGGGGACAGCGAGGAGGAGGAGGAAGACGACTTGGCCTCTTCAGACATTTCCACCTCCAGTGGAGTACTGCTGCCCCCGGGGCAACAGGTGTGCATGTGTCCCCTCTGCAGCAAAGTCTTCCCCAGCCCCCACGTGCTGCAACTGCACCTCAGCTCACACTTCCGCGAAAAGGACGGTGCCCGTTCCAAGCTGTCCCCCGACGGCTCGGTCCCCACCTGCATGCAGTGCAACAAGACCTTCTCTTGCATGTACACCCTTAAGCGTCACGAGCGCACACACTCTGGTGAGAAGCCATATACCTGTGGTCAGTGCGGCAAGAGCTTCCAGTACTCCCACAACTTAAGTCGGCACGCTGTAGTTCACACACGGGAGAAGCCTCACGCCTGCAAGTGGTGCGAGCGGCGCTTCACCCAGTCTGGGGACCTCTACCGCCACATCAGGAAGTTTCACTGTGGCCTTGTCAAGACTCTCGCCATCGGATAAAACGCCTCTCACCGGTGCCACGACACAAGACAGAATGTCTCTTTCATACACTGAATACTACTACTGATCAATTTTCCCATTACTATATAAACATGCTGGCAGTTTGTCTGAGACATCTTTTGGATTCTACCCCCACGTGGCATTTCTCAAGTTAAACATGTAGCAACGTTTAAGCTGTTTCCTGTGCTGGACTGTCATCATAGCTGTACATGATGGTAAAAGACGGTTAGTCAGTGGCACAGGCTGATAAGCTTGACACGGATGCTGTTGAAAAACATCAGATCAGTGTCAATGAAGGCGAACAAATCAGATGATGCACTTGTTTTCCTGTCTTTTGTGTCGGTCTGAGATTATTTGAGGTGTGTATTTGCTGATAGATGAGGGGAAAAAAAGCATCTTGCGTTCACACTCTGTGGGCAACTGGATGATAGCTAAAGCTAACATACGTTAATACAATCGTCAAAGTTTATTGGTGCACATGGGAGATCAGAACCGTCCGCGAGTAGCAATATATGATTATTTTTAACACCTACATTATTATAATTATTCTAATTATTTATTTGGGGGGATTTGTTTAGTCCTTAACAAGTAAACTTATCACAAGGCAGCAAAAGTAATGAAGTCTGACTACTGGAAGTATTCTTTTTTTTCTTTCTTTCTTTTTGTGGAGGTAAAATGTTTGGTTTCATTGAAATGAAGTTTCTATGTTGTTTTTGTGAGAAGAGGCAAGCATACCATCGCACCAACACCACCTCTTTAGTTGTTCACGTGAGCAAGCGTAGAATACCCACTTAAAGAGGTTAAGAGTATTTTAAAGGTAACCCCTGTAACACTGGTGCCTACTGTAACGCTCAAAACTTCACTTAGTGTACTTACAAAGACAAGAATGAGATGACAATGTGATGCCTTTTGGTTAAATTCAGTTCAGCTGTCAGGCGTCTTAAAAAAAAAAAAAAAATCTGGATTACACTCCACATACCAGGTAGTAACAAAGGTAATCCTCTACTGTGGAAGCCAGTTAATCCGTGAGTGCCCTTAATAAAATTAGAATGTAATAAACCAAACTTATGTCAACCTTTTTGTCAAAAACACAAAACGCACAGTTGTGAGTAAATAACTTCGTTTCTTAGTTTAAAGGGTTTGCTGACAGTGTTCAGGACAGGCTCTTTAGCAGGCAGATGGGGGATGGAAGGAGACAGGTGGATGTCCAGTATCTTCTCTATTGTTACCATCAAAGCTGTGCCATTCAGCTTAATCTACTGACCTTTTCTTTTTTTCTTTTTCATAACCTTTTCACACAAATTTACTGGATGTGTTTTAAGTTGCTACTGAGGACGTTGGAGCCTTTAGCGATGCTGCTCTTGGATTTCTTCTGTCTGTTCATTTAGATGCTGTTTGGATTTATTACCGGGGGTGTAGCACTAAAAGTTCATGATTTTTGTCTAATCTGTCCTGAGAAGACTTGATCGGAATTTATTTATTAGTCTGACTTGGTTCAGGGGTTTACTGTAGCGGTAGCTCTTATTTCTATAAGCTTGAAAGACATTGCATCTTGCCTAGCGATCTTGGTACTCATTAGCTGTTGTTTTTTGGGGCGGACTGTCCACTTTTTGTTTTGTTTTTTCTGTGCAAATTGAAGTTACTGTATTTGTATTTTAATATATGGTGTAGAAATCTCTACGGAGTATTCAAGATTTGTCAAACGGAATATAGAGAAGCACTTGATTTTAGCATGCATATAGTTTCAACACTATTGTCTAGGCTGCTATTTCTTACAATTTGTATATTTAATGTAAATATATATTATATTTATCAAATGATTTTTTTTTTCCATGTTACAACCCATTTAAGATTTGGATAGTCAGGTGTCATGTTTAAGGCTGGAGACTCTTGAGCGTCACATTTTCCCCGGGGGGCTGGAGGTTTGGCTCTTTTTCCATATTCTTCATTGACTTTGTTGGACCCTGCCTCACCACAAATCAGAGCAGTAAATACTGCTAGGATGGCTGTTCTACCAGAAGAAACAGTTGTTCACAAGCACAGCCACACCGATACAGCACTGGGTACCTAAGGTTATCTTATCTTATAGAAATGACAATACAGGTATTGTCCCCCCCCCCCAACAAATCTCAAGGGATCCCTGTCCTAGCTTTGGGAGGAAAAGCGGTTCAAGTCTCTCTTTGCACTTTCTGAATGGAGCCACTGGAATGTGAGAAATGTATTTAGCAAAGGGAGGCCAAGGAGATTGTAAACAGGTGTATTGTTTGGAGGCATCAAAGAACACCCCTACCCCCCTTTGTCATCCCGGCACGCAGTAGATAAATGCTTCATTGTTCCTCTGCATTGAGGAGATATCAGCATCATTTGGTTGCGCATCAATCAAGAGTATTGCCCACCCCCTCCCCTCAGTGTTTTTAAAAAAAAAAAGAAAGAAAGAAAAGAGAAAGTTCAAATTTAAAATGCTTTTTCAGTCAGTACGACCTTTAAAAAAACAAAATATGCATATGAAATAATTTACTTTGGGTTTTCAGCAAGGAAAAAATGCGCCCCCCCCCCCCTTTTTTTTTTTTCTTTTTTTTAAATTCTACTCCCTGACCTGAAGTCGGCTACGGGGCGAGGTGGATGTACGCACTCCTGTTTGTCATGCTTGCATCACTTTAGTACCTTATCAGAACAGTAGATCTATTTCAGTTAGATGTGTCATAGTGCTGATGACAGATTTCAATCAGAACACACAGCAGATGTAGATTCTGTGAGTCTGTTTTGGTTTTGTTTGTTGAAGGAACATTTGTACACGGTGCGAGTTGAATTTGTTCTCTAATGTACATGTGTAAAGAGGTAGAAAACTAACATCATGTAAAGGATTTTCTCTTGTTTCGAAGTCTTTATTTATAGCTCCAGGATGATCACCAAATGTGCCTTGTAGACACACGCATAGGTGTTGCATCTGGAGAAGCCCTGTTTTCTATACTGTACAGTTTTCGCCCTTGATGTGAAATGAGGCAGCGGTGAAGTTGGTATCACAGCAACAGTGGCCCGCTGAAACATTACAAAAAAAAGGAGAAAAGAAAGAACCCTGCTGTTTTATGTTAAATCATATCAAAATGGCAACTTAAGACTAAAGTAAAATGTGGAAGTGCATTTCTTATAGCTGCTTTGCAAGAGATTACACTGAAGTTTTTGAAATGTGTGAATAAATTTTTGTTTCTGGACTTTTTTTTGTGTTTTTTGGCTTTTATCAATAGCCAATACTACTGGGAGCTAACAACTTGTTCCACTTTATTTTTTTTTACTGTCACTGTTGAATGTGAAACACTGAGGTTTTTTCTTTTTTTAATATAAATGGATTGTTGACTTGAAACAGTGCTACTCTCAATCGAGGGCGGCGTTTGCCTAACTCGTTGCTGTATCATCCTTGGAGTCTAAAAACAACTGGAATTTTGTCCTCTGCAGGTTACAACTGTGAAATTGTGTATAATCATGAGAAATATTTATTGCATATGCTTCTTGTGCAACATTTTGACTGTCTTGAGTTTAATTTGGTTTAAAAGAAAAAAAGGAGGAAAAAAACCTAAATGTCAAACAAATCTTTTTAATAGAATTTGTAGAAGTGCCATTAGAATTTAATATAATTTTTTTAATAAGAAAGGTATATTTTATAGTAAAAAATTGCTTCAGTGTTAGTGGTGTAGAGATTAGAGGACAATCTTTAAGGAGAATTGACATGGCTTAGATATCAATTTACGTTGATCTATAACTGTACGTGCATTTTCTTTTTTTTTCCGAGTGTGCTTGTGTGTGTGTGCTGTGGAAATGTGACAATCTTGATTTAGGTCTTTATTAAGATTAGAATTAAATGGAACAACTTTCTTTTTTGGTGTGGAGTTTGGTTATTTCTAGCTACTTTCCAGCTACTACTGACAATTTATCAAGGACATAAAAGTAGACTCTGACAACCCAAGAACGTTATCGAGGAGCCCTCGCCTGACACATAGGAGCAACAATCAGGCAGACGGTGTGTGTGGGCATCGCTGCAATGTGTACAGAGACAACACAATGTGATAATACTGCTGGTCTTACAGGCCCGATCCCTCTGAAACCATAAACTGAACTCAAGGACAGAGCAATTTCAGGATGGGGCCCCTATTGTTTTCTGACCTGTTGCCAGTACTCTCCAAAGGAGATAAACCTGGCATAAACAAACCCAGTTGGCTCTCTTGTAATTATTACTTAAACTCAACTTGATTGTTCCTGCTACAACAAACTACACGTATGTGTGTATAAACACATTAACCAATGTCTGTGTGTGTGTCTGCAAGGAACTTCATGCCAATTCACTGGACATTTTCAATGGCGAGAACTTTTAATTATTTCCCTGCTGCACCATGAAAGAAATCCAGCTGCTCTGCTACGTGATCCCAATAGGGATGTGCTCGGGTTCCCACCACCCTCCCCCAAATCCCATCTCACCCTTTCTGGGAACGCCATATAGACAAGGGCTGCATCCATCTGCCCCTGCCTCCACCCCCACAGTCCCCAAAACCATGGCCCCAAGCCTCGGCCTCATCTCACCACTCTATTGTGCGCGTGGGTAGTAGCTCAGCCAGGCTATTGTCTGGCCCAGCTCCCCAGCACGTACTTTATGCACAAACAGACGACACAGCGGCGCTGGCCAGGCAGCTCCGACATAAAGAAAACAACGTCCTCCCAAGATCGTTTATAAACATCCCTCCTCTCCCCCCAAAAAGCCCCAGCCAGCTCACAGCAAATAAGGACCCTCTGCAACACGGTGGCCACCTCAACCTGTAAACATCCACAGCAGCGAGGCCTCGGAGCTCCCACTGGCACCAACATCTCGCATCTGCCAAATGAGACCCAGGGCTTAAAACTGCCTGGTGACTGAATGTGTGTGTGTGTGTGTTATGGACCAAAACCTTCACATGGAAAGCAGGGGCCATGTGATAGGGCTTAGCTGCAGGGTGACGAGCTGGGATATGTGCAGTGTAACTCAATGGTGTAATAAAACATTCCTCTCTGAGGCTCAAAGCTTAGCTCATTTGCCTCCAAGAGCCTTTGCTTGTGTGCTTTTGTGTGTGCGCGTGGTGTTTAGAGATACTTGAGAGAAGTTGAGAGGAAAGTTGTAAGTGTCCACCACCTCAACAAGGCCAGCGGTGGGAGCCCTTGACCTCTGAAGGGACAGACTGCCAGGGACAGCTGGTGTGGCCTGTGTTTATTTATTTATTTCTTAACAAAAGACAGGTGGTCACACTTGAAAAGGGCACACAAACACAGTCACACATGCACTTGTGTACAGACAGCACGCACGCACACAAACACTTTTTCCACCCACCCTCTCCCTTTCCATATTAACACACACGCGCATCTTGTTATCATCCACTTAATTTTGAAGGAGCACGTTATTTCGACTTTCAGAAAAATCGAAACACTTTCCAGTAAAGAAATCTTCATTTACTCCCCAACTGACATGATTGGGGGGGGTTAGGGTTAAAACCACTGCTTTTAAGCGTGGTTTGGTCCCACGCTTAAAAGCAGGATCGAAGGCATTAATAATAATCAGCAACCTAAACATCACACATCAGCTGCTGCAAAGTGCATAAATACATATCAACTAGTGCCCTCACAGTGGCTTTGCCTTTTTTGGACTCGCTCACCCTGACAGTGCCAAGACAGTGTGTCCTTGGTCCACTGTACAGCTGTCACTTACTCACACTCGTTGACGCATATTTATAGCAGCAGCATCACTGGGCTCAACGCTCAGCACACTCAGACCACAGCTGGTCCCCCAAAAAGAATGGGTGAAAGACAAAGCCACGTGCTCCCGCTGGCCGACCGCAGTTGGTCCTGTCTGGAGCGCTGTGGGTGACTGTGCGTAACCCCCCCTCGCTTCTTCTCCTCCTCGCAGTCGTGGACCATTCTTGGTGTGAGGAGAGCATGTCGTGACCTTGTTGTCATTTTTGGTGTCATGGATAGGGTTGTGCTGAAAACCTGAACAGCTGCACTCTTATGTTTTCAAGTTACATGAAGTCATCACACCATTATGGCATTAAACATGCAGGGTGGGGAAGCACCAGCATCCTCAACAACTAACGGGTATAGATACATCATGGAGAGATCTTCCAACTTTACGAGTACTGTATTTTGGGATTATATACATTTATCCAGCCTATTAAATTAATTCATACCACCATCTATCCATCTGCTTTAAATTTAAGGATGTTTTGCACTGAATCTCATCTATAACTCAATGCAGCTTCAAAAGCAACTCTCTTTCAAGTCTTTTATGTCCATCTCCGAGATTCTTAAAGCCTTATCAAGAAATGTGCAGACAACTTGACGCCTTGCTTGCCAGCAGCTGTCTGCTCACTCAGCCAGAAATCAAGCGGTGCCCTCGGACACCAACTGCAAGAGCTCCCCTAAGACCGGAGCCACAACTGGCCCGCTGAGCACGGGATGTGACTCAACAGCTCACAGAGCACATTCGCCACAAGCTCCAGGAAGCGTGCTCATCCAAGCTAATATCTGTAAAAACACGCCACATGATTGATTTCTGTAAAGACGCAGCGACCGCCAAGAACAATTACTCACGGCGCACAATACCTGACCCTGAAACCAGTCATCGTCAGTGACACGCAGCAGCCAAAGAGAAAGTGATGACTGCGCCTCAAGGTCGTGTCCAGCAGGGACGACTGCAGCCAAATCGTCTGCTGCAGAGGTCTGGTTCTGTTCAACCTCTGGGTCTTGTGTTTTAATAAATACATTTGATAGGAGATTCTCAAGGTCAGCTGTGAAGAGGAAAAAAAAAAAAAAAAAAAAGGAAGGCTGGATCAGAATCTCATTATCATTGCAGAGACAAAAACTTACATACTTTGACTAAAAGGTTGAAACTCTGCCTGTTTAGCACAGCGAGAGAAATGTGTTTGTCCACAGAGGATGTGCCCAGTCTGAGAGGAACTGATCCAAGTACTTGAAGTTTGCTGCCACCTGCTGATGGTTGTACCCACAAAACACAGACACCTGTGCGACTCTAGTTTTCGTTTGTCATGTCACATACTATAACACAATCAAGACACAAAGAGCTGTATACAAAAGTGTTAAAGTTTATTTTAGAATGAAATACATATTTACAAGACACCTGGATCACATAAAAACACAAGGTATAAAAATTCAATCTCAGTAATATTTCATAAGAGACAACTACATATACAAACATCTGGTTCGTCCTCTGGTCTTCCCTTTACGTTGAGCAGCTGCAGCACAGTACTTCATCATATCGTCCGCTGTAACTGTGGAACAGAGAAAATGTACAATTTACACAGAAGTCGAGCGTGTTCATACAGGCATACCCCTACAGCTGCACCATTGCACACCTTGTAAATGACTTGAAATCCAACCTGATGGAACATAGTAATGAGGGAAAAAAATCCCAACTTCAATGACTGTACTGAAAGCATTGTGAACTACACAACAGTCCCACAAAAAAACCAAAAGACTATCCTGTTAAGCCCAATTTGCATGGGATCAGAATGACCGGGGAACCACAGATCTTACAATTATCCCCAACATGAGTTTCATACAACACATTTGCATGTTTTAAAACAACTAGAAATTAATATTGGATTTCATCCATCAAATATTTTACTGCTCTCATTGATTTGCAGCCTTTCTAGTTCTATAGTGAGAACGAGGCAGAAGGAAGGTGTGAAGAAAGCAGAGACACCGCAAAAGCCTTGACAATGACAACAATTTTACAAGTTCTGTAAACGTATTGAACATTAAAAGACTGAAACATGCCACTTGTATTAATATTTAGACTCCTTAACTACATGGTTGATCCGGTCTCGCCACCTCAACCGCCACTCCCTCTAAAATGTTCACTGAGTCGGAAACAACTAAAACAAAGAGAGCGTAGGTCCCGAAGACTGCAAGTAGGATGTGTACGTTTTCATTTATACTAAATCCAACTCTTTCAAAAAAATTAATAATTTCACAAATTTCAATTTAACATATGTGTGGACTGATGAGCAGTGGCTGAGGCTCATAAAGCAGAGCGGGTCATTCAATAATCACAAGGTCGGTGAACCGATTCCCAGCTGCAGAAATGTTGCATCACGATGAGACTGAACTTTTATTGGTGTGCGAGAGCAAGAACGTGCTGTATGTCTAGAATAAAAGCACTGTACAAACATGTGTCTACAAGGGTAAATGCGGCATGCAGTGCAAAGCTCCTAGTGTGGTCAACAAGACTAGAGATGCGCAATGAAAATGCAATGCCTCGAGGAAACTGTTGTTGTGATTTGGCATTATACAAAAAACACTGAACTGAAATCATTTACCATGACGTGTCTTCAGTTCAGTGCGAACACAAAGGAAAGTTGTTTGTGAATCATAAGATAAAAACAGTGACTTAATTTTAAGGTTTTCAACTTAAACAATGGCTGACACATCTGACACTGAGCGAGAAGGAAAATCGACATGTGACTTACTCTATGATGGTGCAAACGGAGCAACAGAGGCTGGAGCACCCGGAGCACTGGCGGCTACAGGAGGAACACACCTGGCGCTCACACTGGGAGCACCGTGTTCTGGACCCCTGGCTCTTCTGACAGACACAGCAACGTGTAGCAGGCACCGGTGCACCTAAATAGCAGAGACATCCGTACAGTACAGTGAAACAAAGCATTTAGGAAAACATGCAGGTTAAAAGCAACCAAAGTAAGCATCCAAACATGCAATAATGCTGACATCTGCTGGTAGAAAGCATGAACTGAACCGACTATCTGTCATTTCTTTGAACTCAGAAACTTCAATATCACTTTTTAAAGAGACTCAAGCCTGATAGGATAACTTCTGCGACCTGGTAGATCTTTTGGCTGCTCCCTTTAGGAGTGACCACAGCCTCCATCTCACCCCATCTCCGGCTGTCACACCAACCCTCTGCATGTCCTCCTTTACTACATACATTAATTTTCTCTATGGTTTTCCCCATTTTCTTTCTGCCTGATAACTCCCTGTTCAACATCCTTTTGTCCAATATATCCACTATTCCTCCTCTGAACACGTCCAAACCATCTCAGTCTTACCTCTCAACTGTGTCTCCAGAATGACCTACACATTTCTAATCTGCTACATCCTGGATACTTCCAATTAAAATCTTAATGTCTTTAACTCTGCCACCTCCAGCTTGGCCTTCTGTTTTTGTGCCAGTGCCATTGTCTTACAGCACAGTAGGTCTCAATGCCATCTTGTAAACCTTCCCTTTCACTCTTGCTGTTATCCTTCTGTCATAAATAACCCAACAGTCCACCCTGCCTTCACACTCTTCTTCACCTTTCTTGTGCACTGTCCATTGCTTTGGATGGTTGACCCCAGGAATTTAAAGTCATCCACCTTCTATTTATTTTACAGAAATTTTGTTGGACAAGTCATCAATAACACCAACATAATAAATGGAAGTTAAGTAGAAGCATTTATGCACCTGCCCCTTTCCTTATTTCACAAAACACACTTTTAAAACATTACAGCTGAGTTTAACTAAACTTTATTCTGGATCATCTAGGTAGACACTTTTCTTTACAGATATCATGCAGTTTTCATTAGGTTATAGGTTCAAAAAGACCATATACATGGACTTTTACTTTTGTTCCATTTACAAGAGGTTCAGTGTGTCACTAGATGTCACTGTTTTCACATGTATTTTGTTTACCTTTTGCTCAATAATCGTGTCTGCTTCCCATCTTATCATAAACTCTGGACTAAAGCACTCTGGCGATGGTCACACACCACACTGCACTGAAAACTGACTGGTTCGTCAGCTATCCTTGTTGGTTCAGTACTGAATAGTTTACTTTTCACACATTTAAACAATTCTTAATTCTGCTTTTCATTTTTGCTTATCCTTTACTGGGTGCATCACCTACAGACTTCACACTCTTCATCTGTTTCAGTTCAGGCTCACCTTGTGCACCACTTGTTTTTGTGAGTCTGCCATCATGTCCAATCAGCGTCTGGCCCCTCAGAAGCGTATGGCTGCATGCAGGGGGCTCATGCTCTACGGACTTCTCCTCTCCGGTCCATATTTTGCCCACCACTGCCTTGGCACCGTTGAAGAGTAGGTTTTTCGTCTTTTCTATGAGAAAATGGGAGCGGGGGCACTTACAGTTGAACCCAAGAAGCTAATGTTCATAGCAACAACAGCGGGCAAAGTTAATGAACAATGTAGGATCGATAGTGTAGTTTAACTATACGCTCAAATACAATCAAAGTGACCTACGCGATTTGAAAACTAATATAAAAGGACGATATACTTGAAGCTAACAGCGCAAGCTTACCTAACAGGTATGTGCGCAACGATGATGCTAGCATTGGCTAACGGTGCAGCGAAGCCACACAGTACCCAGAAAGATGAACTTACCGTATATTTCTTGCCTGTATTTGTTCCCAAACACGCCGTAATTATTCAGCTCCTGTTGCCCAATGTGTATTTTGTATTGGGAAGAAAATGTTTCCGGAAAAGGACAAGCTCGTTTCGTCATTTTGGTTGCTAAAAGTGCTGTACCTTACTCCCACGGAGGACCACACTTGTTTGTTGCGGGAAAAATGAAACGGAGGCAGACAGGAGCCAATCACAAGGACGTTTTATCGTCACGTGGGTGCTCATCCCCCCCCCCCAAGTTCCGGAAAGTGCGCCATTTTCCCACGTGACTAATGCTTTTCATGCTGCCTTCATGGACTGTCGTCAATGTTGTGTGTTACGGATTTTAATTTTAGAAATCAGAGTAAAAAAAATCAATGTATAAATTAATTTATCTTTGTGATGGAGTCAATACAGTCCCAATGGACTCAGCTAACAGTAAATTAGTAATATATAGACAATTATATCAATTTTTGAAAACAGCAAGACTGGGCTCCAGAAATCAGATTATCATAAAACGTTTTCTTTATTGGATCATGGAAACACATCCACGTTTTTAATTTGCGATATGGCTATAAATGTATTTATAAATCCAATATTTTGACTCACAAAAACAGTGGGATATTTAACTACAACACAACAAACACAGTTAGCGTGGATCAAAGCTTATATGTTTGTTTATTATATAATGAAGTGAAGGTAACTTGGAGAAACATGCTTCAACATGACACACTGCCAGCGCTTCCATCAAGGGAAGGGGGTGGGATAAAGACTTAAAACATCTGGATCATGCACTCTCTGGACTTTCCAACGCCAACCCACTTGACTAAGAAGAGAGAAAAGAGCACAAAGAGTTTTGGTTATGTGTGAGAAAATTTATATTGAGATACACGAGTGTTATTTTCTCTCACACGTACTAGGAACTCCAATGTGGTTCTCAATGAAGCGGATGTAGTTTTGTGCCTTGACTGGGAGGTCATTCCACTTCCTAGCTGCTGAAGTGTCTGTCTTCCAACCTGGGAAGGTCTCATATTCAACCTCCACTTTCTGCAAAACGTCCATGTTGGCTTTGTGTTGAAAAGAAACCAGTTATTACCAACTCTTTAATCAGTCAGTCCTAAACAAAGACCATCAAATTAGGGAAATCGTTTACTCTTTTCCACAACCTGGAAAGTGGGGAATCCTCTTCCCGTTGAGTTTGTAGGCAACTCCAACTTTAATTTCATCCAGCACATCCAGAATGTCAAGTTTTGTCAAAGCAATGCTGTTGAATAGATGTCACATTTAACATGTGCGGTTAATCAGTGTCAGGCTGTGTGACGGTGCAGGAAAATGGCATGCTCGTGGGATAAAACACAAAAACCACAAAGCAGCAGATGAGCACCAGTCCTAATCACTCACGCAGTGAAACCATTAATCATGTGAGCATATCTGACGATGACCAGATCCAGCCAGCCGCAACGTCGCTTCCTTCCCGTGGTCACACCCACTTCGTGACCCCTCGTCTGCAGCAGCTCTCCTATTGCCTACAGAAATAAGCAAGAAATAAACATCTCTGCCTGTTATAATCCTACAGATCTAAAAATAAATAAATAAATAAAAATACATGCATATTAAGTACACCTGAAGTACACACAGCCGAGTACAATAAAACATCACGAGTTGGAGGATGCCCTTTGAACATCTTGACCTTAGTCCCTATGGCCTGTTCCCGTTACAGGTAACATTAACCCCAGCACACACAGTAAATATATCCTTAACTAAGAGTCTGACCCTAAATTTATCCCTGCGAACATGTGATCTGGAAAAGAGGTAAAGAGCCATCTCTCACAAAATTTGACAGCTGCACTCAGTGAGAATACCCCCCCCCCCTCACACACAGGCCTGCCAGCCGTGCTGCCTGTGTGTCAGCTGGGGGATCACAAACAAACTGTATATGTCAAGCTGAATATCTGCGTGTTACATAACATGTCATGTGTCTCTTTTTACAATACACAGACCGTGAAGGCCAAAAGCCAAACGCGTGACAAGATTTGCCAAGTGCTGCTGCGATACCAGGCACTCACATTGAGCTGTTCGGTGGGGAAGGCTCCAATGCCGACTCTGGTCGTGTAGGCCTTCGCGACGCCAAACACGTCACCAATATTCATCGGAGGGATGCCGAGACCGGTGCATGCTCCTCCCACGGTGCAGTTTGATGATGTCACAAAAGGATATGTTCCTAGAGAGACAATTTTGTATATTACAGCAGCAGTGATTTCTTCCCTTTTCATCACCCATATCCAAAGTAAAGTGAAAAAAAAAGCAAAACAACAAAACGATTGCTATGGCTCCTACCAAAGTCGATGTCAAGCAGAGCAGCATTGGCCCCTTCAACCAGAATTTTCTTAGGGGGGCCATGAAGAGCTTCGTACATATAATAAACACCGTCTCTAACCATCGGCCGCAATCTCTCAGCGAATTCCTCCATGAAGCAAGAAAACAGAGATATGTCTCAGTGCTGGAAACAATAACAGACAGTCACTCAATAACATCACTCTTATCAGTTTCTACCTTTAGTTTTTTCAGCTGGTCCTCAACGTCAACTGTCAAGGATGGATACATGGACTGATACTGTTGGACGAGATTCTTGAATCTAAAGAGATTTACCAGAGGTGTTACCCATGACATATCACTGTATGCAAATGGATTTGACTCCTCTGCCTGAGTTTTACACACCATTCCTACCTAGTAGAGAAGTCCTTGAAGTCACCCAGGAGATCACATACGCGTAGACCAGTGCGAGATGCTTTGCTGGAGTATGCAGGTCCAATGCCCTTCTTGGTAGTTCCAATGCTATTATGTAAAACAATGTGTGAGATCAGTGTTGTATTCAATAAATTATCGTGTTGCGTCCTTTGGGAAAGGGTCAGGCTGACTCTGAATGGTGTCCTGCCCTCCTCACTATCGCTACCCTTACTTCTTTCCTTCTTGCGCTTGTCTTTCAGTTTCCTGTAAGCCATCAACAACCTGGTGGAAATCGAACACTGTGGAGAGACAGAAAAAACGATCGATAAGATGCAACCTTGAAGAGATGAATTAAACAGGCTAGCTATATATATATATATATATATATAAACAAAGAACATCTTCATAGATGTACCGAGGTGAGCTCTGTCTGAGACAATGAGTCTCTTCTCCCAGCCTTTCAGACCTGGTCAGAGAATAGAAATCACATGATTACATGCTAATTTGAGTCCACACTAGTTTCACTCATTTCTGCTAAAAATACCTTTCTTGTCATTTTTATCCCCTTCTTCAAACAAACCAGGTAGATGTATAACTACTCCATTACCTAGAAGATCAAGGGAAAAAGCAAGTGAGGGTAAATATTTGAATAATAGTGCATCTCTGTAAATAATAGAAATTGAAGCCTTTACCAATAAGAGATATGCTTTTAGGGTTAATGATCCCACTGGGGAGAAGGTGGAAGTCGTACTCCTTCCCATCCACCACCACTGTGTGTCCTGCATTATTCCCGCCCTATGGATCAAAGAATGTTTATTATTAATAATTATAGTAACTGGCAATGAGCAAGACATACAATCAAACACCCAAGGCCACCTCATCACTTTTAGCCACACTAACATGCCCCGTCTGATTTTTATGATGAGTGATAAGTGCCCTCTTTCCTGAGCTTTTCGAGCATCTATTTTAACTAACAGACTTGGCTGTTGCTGGTGGATCCTCCACTCTGTTCCCCCCTGGATAAGACCTGGCCTTCTCATGTATCATGTCAGCCTGAGAATGTGACCCCTGGAGCCCAGTGGGTTGGGCTCTCAAGCCTTCAGAACACAGGGTTCTAGTCCTGTCAGTAGTACAACACTGCAGGCTGTTGACAGCCTTCTCCGTGCCTGCTGGAGCTGAAGAGACCTCTTGACCGTTATGCGTCTTATGCAAGGCCGGGTCACAGACTGACCTGTCTGGACCTGTTTTTATTGATGATTTAATGCAATCAGAAAGAGTCAGTCAGAGGAAATTTACCCGAGGTGTTAGGTCGATTACAAGCATTAAAAGAGTAGTCAGGGTTTCGAAAAAGTGCACTTATTCATGATGCCTGACAGTATTTAAGAGATTCGTTTTGAGCTGTCACAACTGCCTATTGCATATTTTAAATTCGTCACAAATATAAACACGTCGCTTTATTGTAGTGGGGAAAAATATCCACAGCTACACTCGCGTTAAATATACCGGAGGTGCGAGTGTTTTCGCTTTCGCACCTGTTGCACATTACCAGGCGCCAGCAAGTCACAGAATTTATCGTGAGATCACGAATTCATGCAAAAATACTCAGCAGCACCACTCACAGTCCTCATCAAACCCACACGTTTACCTGACATCTGCAGACAATGTCAGCTTCGGTAGCCAGTAAATCCACGACCTTCCCTTTCCCCTCATCTCCCCATTGCGCACCGAGCACCACGGTCACTTTGTTCCCCGCGTCATTACGCGGTCGCTTCTGCCCGGTGGCAGCGGGTTGATTTGCGTTTTTTTGGTCTTTCCCCGACCAGCTGAGCGACATGATGGTGTTGCCTTGAGCCTGTCCGCCTCAAGAAGACCCAACTGTCTCCAAGAGCAGCATTGCCATATGTGTAACCGCATATCCGATGATGTCAGAGCCAGACGCACAGAAGTACGTAGCTGTGCTCAAACAAATCACCCCCAAAGCTGCTGAAGCACCGAGATAACAGTTTTTACACAACCGTCACGAAGGTGGAATTGCTTAAACATTACTTTTTGAGGCTTTTCTAACGGATTCAGATTGCCTCAATACCGCCATCTATGCGAATCAGACGATCAAAAACAGAACAGACGAACAGTATCTTCAATTTTATTAAAATATACCCAACATTAAAAGTTACAGTCCATTCTCGCTCTCCTTTATACGCATATATCCTGTCGCAGATCATTTGATTAACAAAGAAATTAAGACATAAGATTTGTATTATTTTATAATTGATTAAATTCAATATCTCAAACCAAACACTGCATCTTTTTATGGGTGCTGCAAACATAAACAAAGCTTATAGCAAAAACACATTCACTGCATATTACAACAATTATACAAACATATAAAGAACATTTAGCTTTTTTTCTCCCCCTCAAAATAGTCCTCATAAACACAAAAACCCTCCAGTTTACATAAAGTGACTTTAACGTGAAAACTAAGGAGAACTAAGGCTGATAGAGCTTTTGCCACTGTGGCACTCTCTTCCCCAACATTAACTGCGGACTCAGTCGCTGTTTTTAAAAAACAACTCAAAACTCATCTTTTTAAAACTGCTTTTGGTTAATGTTTTGCCCGTTTTATTTTCTCTTTTTAAATCTTTTTATGACTTGTAATCTTATGTGCAGCACTTTGTGATTCTGTCTTGAAAGGTGCTATATAAATAAACATTTATTTATTGAAGAAAAAAAAAAAATCCCAGCCTCAGATGTGGTCGCTCTTCTTGGTCAGGATGAGGCTTCACAGAAGACTTCCACATCCTCCAATCAACATTATGGAATCCCAATAAAATAAACTGTTCTGAACTCCTGCTCGGAAGTCAGCATTTTCTTTTCCCTCTCGATTTTCTTTTTCTGGAGTCACCTAGAGAGAACAAATGCTCAAATCAATAGTGCGAATGAAAGCGTGTACTTTAATACCTTTCACAGTTATTTCTGTAAGCGACACTGCCGGCTCAAAGGCCCTCAGCAGAGAGGCGCTTTGCTTGCAAACACTATTATTGGCTTAGAGATGCCCAGAGTTTGAGTTAATTTTTTTTTAAAATACATTTTATATCATGTACAGTATGTTTAATTAACAAAACAGTTTACAAGAAGCACACGAGACTGTTAGCAGGTTAAATCGTTGTAGATTCAGAGAATGGACAAGAATATATGGAGGAAGAAGAAGAGGACACAAGTGACAGCTTTCATGAAATAACTGTCCACAATGGCTTCACAGAGACTCCACAAACGGCGAGGCTGTTTGAGATCAGAAAACTTAATTTCAATAGATTAACCACTAATTAAAGATGATTATTGCACAAGACAATACTTTTATTTTGCCCCCCGGCTCAAGTTTAACAGATATCACAAACCCCAAGAGTTTAGCCCGACAACCAGCTAAACTGGGAGAGCGTTAAGAGAGACGGCCGTGTGTTAAAAGTCGGACAACACAGACAAATGAGATCCAGATTCCGGTTAGACCAACAGATGACGTGTTATTTGGAACAAAAGCTCTGACGATGATTGAGTTAATTTCCGGCTTACGGTTTGCCATCCCATCGACTTGACCTACCTCACTGCAACACACAGCCTGTTTTATGTTTAGTGTGTCCTTTCCCACTGTTACCTTGTGTTTCAGAACGGAAAACAGAACATTCAAACAAAAAGGGACCACAGGTTTTAAAAAAATCCATTCAGTATTCAATCTTCAAGACAAATGCTGCACTCATACTGTTTAATTTAAAAGATATGTATTCATGTAAAATATTTATGCACATATAGTAAAATAGCCCATACATAAGATATAAAATGTTAAATGGAATAAAAACACTAACAGAGGATTCGCTTTAAGAAACGTCAAGAGACTAGCATTCCAGAGATGGCCTTTATTGAAGTGAATGGATAGGTTACCTTGATTACTCTTCTTTTTGTTTCGTTTAAAGAGCTTCATCTGTTTCTTTGGGTCTGGCTTAAGGGCTTCGGACACAGATGCCAGATCTTCTGGTTCCAGTGCATCTTGGACGTCGCACTGCATGATGCCTTCATCGAGCGTAATCAGGCTCTTTTTGGGGTCTGCAAGTTTGCAACTATCGACTTCGTCTTGGCCAGACGTTTTCGCCCCCGTGTACGCGGTCTCCTCGTGCCACTTCTCTTGCCCTACAGTCTCTGGTAAATGGCTTGGTTTATTAGTAGTTTCTCCTTTCCCCTCTCCCATAATATCGCTTTCCATGCTCTGCTTCGTGTCCGTACTTGGAATTTCTTTGACATGAACGTTTACGCTAAGATCCGTTGGCTGCTCGGGGGCCGGGCTGGGTGTGTCATCAAACGTAGCCTCCAGCAGGTCAGAGTCTGAGAGGGATGAAGGACTGATGACGCTGGTCTCTGCTGAATCTAATGAAAAGCCATTTGTGGGGAGGCATGGTTGGTGGTCCCCTTTAACCTGAGACTGAGCTTGAGTCACATCTATGGGTGATGCTGCATCTTTCTCTGGCTGCAGAGATGTAGGTCTTCCCAGGAGTGCTGCTGGAGCTGTCTTTCCTGGGAGTGTGCTTGGAGGTGCGGCTGTGCAGTCGTGCACTGCATTCAGCTGAGGAGCCGGCAGAGTCTCTTCTGATGGGCTTATAAAGCCGTTCACCTCGCCCGTGCTGTTGTGGCGACCCTCTGTCCGAGACGCGGTAGGAGCGGAAATGGTGGCCATGTCGACGGCTTCTTCGCCTACAGACTTCGCACTTGATCCTGGGGGACAGAACAGCCAATCAGTTAACAGAATTAACATCTGAAGTTAGGGGATGTTCTGCAGCGAGCAATGAGACAGGACGACTAGAGGCTCTCCATAAAAAGAAATGCTCACGTGGGCTCCACAAAGCAAAAAACAAAAACAAACAAAAAGCAATGGCGCTAACTTAGCGAGACGGGAGGCGGTGCAGAAGCACAAATAATCCAACAAGGCAGTTTTGTGGCTCGCGGTTAAGCGGATCAGGAGCGGAGCTAGGAACTGCGGATGGAGACCACGGCCTCGTATCCTTACCATGTGGGCAGGTATCCCTACGCATTTCACTAGAAGGGAGGCTTTCCGAATCGCACCTTGGCCGGGTCTTTCTGAGGCTGAAACCTTTTCTGATGTCCGCCAGGAGGTTTTCTATGATGCAGCCGTCGTTCTGCGGCACAAAACCTTTCTTGACTAAAAAGAAGGGCACAAAGAGGACATGGGAAACACGATAGTCACATCACATCTTGTTCAGAATTTTCTAGTACAGTAGAAGAACACAGCGCTCTTCACAACTTACTTATTTTCCCATTCTCTCCTTTCTGTCTCTTGGACTGTTCCTCTGCCAGCTGCTTCTTTCTCTTCTCAGCCTTGGCCGCCTGTTCTGTCCGAGTTTTGTTTTCCTGTTATCATTAAGGAAGGATTTCACTATCTCGCAAGTACAAAATGTACATAGCAGTTTGTCTTTGTGTCATTTGGGCCGTAGCATATTAACATGTCTTAGTTTTCCACAGTTTATTGATACAAATGTTACAAACAAAACACTACCTCCCACACACAAGAGGAAGATTTAACAGTGCCAAGTGTGCGCGCACACACACACACACACACACACACACACACACACACACACACACACACACACACACACACACACTCTCTTAAGATTGTCTCATAATGCTTGACATCAACCAAAGCGGCCTCTCTGACCTTCAGCGCCTTGATGAAGAGTCCTCGGAAAGTCCTGATGGTACCGAAGAGTTCCTCCAGTGACAGCTGATTGGCATCTTCACATAAATAGACAGCCAGTTCACCCTTTTTCGTCTCAATCGCGGCAAATCTCTCGTTTAATTCTCCGAACAACTCCAGATTTGCCTGCAGCAGAGAGAGAGAAGCATTTGGGATGTGGATCCAGCTGCCAAGAAAACAGTGCCGAGTTATGCAGTTTTGCATCCATTTGGAGAAGAAGCAAAGATTGACGTTTTACCTCGAGAACCTTTGCATACTGCTCCTTCACCTCCTCCGCAGAGTTGGAGACTTTCTTGGCTGTCTCATTCAGCCGTTTGAGTAACGCACTGGCTTCTGACTGAACAGAGTCCAGGTTAACTCTGAGGAGCAAGGGTGACAAGCGCCAAGTGTTAGAAATCTTTGACAAAATAGTTGAAGAAAAAAAAATTAAGACTAAGTTTGCATGAAAGATTTCCATACCCTGCTGCCTTTTCACATATGGCTATTTCATCCGGTAGAGCCAACAGCTCTGGGTGGTTTGCCTCTGCTTCCTTTGCAAAACAAGCCATGCAATGGGTGATTAAACAATTTCATGACTGAGGAGAAAAAAAACCCCAAAAGACACTGCAGTAGCTGCCGGCCGGTTTGCGTACCTCCAGGATGTGATGAAGCAGCGTAATGCGGCTCTTGTTGGCCTTGGTTTCTGTGAGCTTGAGCAGGGAGCTAATCTTGAACCCCTCTGCGTTCCCAGTGTGACTTCCCTGAAAGTGGACCAGTGATTAAAAATGCAAACTGTCTAAATGTCAGCTCAACTGACAGAGAAATAAGAGATGAGGTTCTTACATAGTTTAGAAAATTTCCCACGTCGAGGATGAGCCTGCAAAAACTGGGCATGAGCGTGCTCGTTCTAAGAGCTGGGAAACCAGTGACATTGTGTTAACATATAAGACATATTTTAAGCTAGCCAATTAAAAAAAAAAGTTCACCCTTAATCAAATTTCCTTATTTTTCCACAATCAGGCCTGTTGTGCTATTTTCATAAATGATGTCCCAGTTATTTAGCAAATAGACAAGCTTCGTTGTGCAGGAACTTTTTTCTTGCTTAAGTGAATGCATCGTCATCACTGAACAGAAGGAAGCCCACATCCATCCCCACGTGAAGCATGCGCCTGTGACAGATAACAGGACGTAAACATTAATGATACTCCTCTCACTTGGGCTGTAATGCCATCTACTCGCATTAAGCTGGTGGATATATTCATCCATCTACTCAATTTCCTTCCTCCCCAAACAACCGCCTTATCCTCTTCCTGAGGCACTCCTAAGCCAGCTGAGACGCATAATGTCTCCAGCGTGTCCCGGGCTTTCTCCCTGTTGGATATGCCCAAAACGTCTTCACCTAGGAGGCGACTGGATAGCATCGTAGTCAGACACCCACTCACCTCAGCTGGCTGTGGAGGAGTGAACGCGGATGACTACGTTCCTCACCTGTACAAACAGTGCTCAGTCATGACAACATGATGTGGATGGACTAATCAAGCTGACAGCTTCGCCTTCACACTCAGCTCTTTCTTCACCATAACAGACTAACACACTGCCCGCATCACCGCATATCGTGCAGCAATTCCATTTGCCAATCCTGCACTCACGAACTAAACCTGTAAATACGTGAACTCCTCCACATGAGACGACAGCTCAGCTCCACTCTTTTCCTGGCGGAGGATCGTGGGCTTCGCTCTGTCTCACTTGGCTTGAAGCCACCTCGGAGATGGATGTGGTGGCTAGAAGTGCTCAATAAAACACACATTGTGCAAAAAGCCAGCATGATTCGGAGAATGCAGAGCCAGACACCCTTCCAGGTGTAGATGGCTCGGTAAAGAGAGAAAATAGTTCCCACACAAAACTGCTCAAAATAAGAATTATGGATTTTTTTTCTTTTTGAGTAGCTGCATCATGATTTCTGGAAAGAGACGTTGCAGTTGCACAAATCTAACATTTTCTGCTTTGAATATCCTCAAGGCAAGTGCCATGTGCTTTCATTGGAGTCAAGAGTGCAACAGATACACTGATGAAAAGCCAGAAAACTGATTTTAAGGTGAACCCCTCCCTTAAGAATTATAGCTGAATGCATGCGAACACAGGTGAGGGACTAAGGCTTACTTACAGTGGCAGGCCTCCTCCACAAGCTTGACTTTAGGTTTGAGCATCTCCAACACCGATGCAGTTTCCTCGCACAAAAGCATGCACTCAATCCTCAACTGATAACTGAAGAGAAGAGCGAGAAGAGAAGAAGTCACGCACACGGCAGCCACGTAAGCAACACTTAAAGCAGAAATAAACTTAAAAGAAGGGGGGGGGGGGTTACCATGGCACAGTAAGGAGAGCGGTGTAGAAGCGATCGACATTTGCCAGCTTGTCTTTCTCTCCCTGGTAGGACTTCAGATTCTCCATCTACGTGAAAACACAAAGCACTGACTCAGACCAAGCACCATCATCCTCAAGCAGGGCCTTAATTGGCAGATAAAAACACTCGAGGTAAGGATGTTGGCAGCACAAACCTCATGCTTCTCTGGCAGGAGCTTAAGCAGCTGTTTTAGCACCTCCACATCAAACCGAGTCCGATCCCCACTCTGGATCATGCCCACAAACTCCTCGTTTGTGCTGGACGGAGAGAACATAGAAAGTAGAAACACGAGCAAAACGCATCAAAGCACAAAAATGTGTTTGATATCTCACCATTTGAACTGCTTGAGGAATATATTCACGTTCAAGCTTTTCTTTGGGTCGATGAACGTGATCTATAAAAAGGTGGGTGGAGAAGGGGGGTGTAAGAGAACAAAAACAGGATTACTGATTGTTCGCCTCGGCTTATTAGCAGTGTTTTTCTGAGTGCTTCTGCTCCGAGGAGCACCGTCGAGAGCTGACCAAGCACACCTCTTTAGGCTCCTTCTTGACAGGAGCAGCTGCCCCCTTGTCTTTGTGTTCGGCCACCGGGAGGCAGAACAGCTGCTCGATGCTGCTGTAGTCGGGCTCGTGAGGAGGCGGCTCTTTCTGAACCGAGGCCCACATGGAGTGACCATCTGTGTGCACGAAGGAAAAGAGTAACCCGTCATGAGCTTGTGCGGCTCCACTTTTGTACGGACATTGTGCCAAGTGATCATCTCTCTCCTTCCAGAAACTTGAGGGAAGCCTTCGACACCCACATTAATTAACACCCAATTTTGGATGGTTTAACAACTCAGAGCGCTATTCATGTCAGCGCTCCACTCCCATCAACTGTCCACTACACAGATGGCAGCAGCCAATGCCTTTGCTTAAATTCCTCATAATTATTGCTATTTAAAAATGTGGGACCTATACTGTATTAGCTGATAATACAGATTTATGCAACAGAAGAATTAGTATGAGATTTGACAGTTATTAAAATTAAAATAAAACAATTTAAAAAAAATGGAGGTTTTATCCACTTACCAGTAACAGTGCGAAGTTTCTGCCAGTTGAGCTTCTTCATCCTCAGAGTGGGACAGCGGCTTGTCTTTGAGGGCGCGCTGCAGCCCAGGGCCTGGCTACTCTGGGCCACAATCATGCCTGTTGGAGGTGGAGGCGGAGGAGGCATGCCGGGTAAAGGTGGAGGCGGTGGTGGCCCACCACCCATCCCTGGTAAGGGCGGGGGAGGAGGGGGGACCCCTGGTCCAAAGGGCAGAGGAGGTGGTGGTGGTGGTGGGGGAGCCATTCCAGGCAATGGAGGAGGTGGCGGGGGACCAGCAAACCCTCCAGGTAGCGGTGGAGGAGGTGGCGGCGGTGGCGGCGGGCACTGGTTAGAGGGCGGTAGAGGGGGTGGTGGGGGTGGAACAGAGGTACACAGTGGCCTTTTAGGGGACGGTGTGCTTTTGTTTGGCTTCTCCGTGTACGGGTGATCCAGCTCCGTCTGCACAGCCTTATCCACTTTGACCCGCAGTCCGTCCACCTCGTGCCGATCGTCGCAGCTTTTTCTTTTAAAAACCATCAGCCGCTGCATGATCTTCTCACAGGACTCCATCTGAGCTGCAGCACAAAACCAGAAAACACACACACGATGTGAATTAGCTTCCCACTCTACAACAGAAGCTTTCAGCCATCCTAACACCGGCTCCCTGCCTTTCATCTCAAGGCGCTCTATATGCCTGAATAATCACTCGTCTTCACCATGTGGCCACTAAGCAGCCATTAGCCTCTTTTAAAGTGTTGATCTGGAGTGAAAGCATTGTTGCTGCTGTGCTGACTCACAGTCCTGGGCGAGCAGTATGGCTCTGTTAGTGATGGCCTCCAGAGCCAGCCAGATGTCAGGGCGCCCTGGTCCCAGCACCAGCAACGTCTGCAGGATGGACAACAGCTGGAGAGAGGCTGGGGAGCTGCTCACCTGCACACAAACACCCACAAGAACATTAAGCTTGATAATTTGCACATTTTTTTTAAATTTATGCACAAGGATAATAAGGTATTTTAATCTGTATCTTGTTAACAGGTCCCTCTCTTTACTGTGAGACTTCTGAGAGAAAAGCCGCATTCATGCAGTGTTCTGCTTGATGGACTATATTTTTTATTAGGAGTTGACAGAGCCATTTCAATAGGCTTTTCTCACCTTGTTAAAAAGTGTAGTAAAAACCTCCAGGTGATTACTCATATCAATGCCCCCATACACTCGCAGGAGCTCTTCCTCATCTTCAGCCATCGCCTCTTCAAAAGCTTCGCACTGAATAATCAAGTCTTCATCCTCCTGCTCCCTGCAAACGCACACACACGTATTACAGTCATAGCTCGGTTCATAGTTTAGTTCAGTCCCATCTTCAGTGTTTTTTCCTTAAAAAGTTCTGACAAGGACCTTTGATCCAATTTATGCCATTAATGGAAATACATAAAAAAAACTATTTTTCTAAAAGCACCATTTCACTTGCGGTGATTATAGCTTTTAAAAAGGAACCTTTAAAAATGTACCTCAGCGACTTTATTGCGGAAATTAAGAGGCTGAAAAAAATAATCAAATGTGAACACCAGAAGGATGGCTCACCTCAGCTTTGGCAGAACATCAAGTAACTGAAGCCCTGCAAGCAAAATAACACAAAATGACACAGCGCCGAGTAAAACAACAAGAAATCAGCGGCTTTTCATGAAATGTCGTACAAACAGTGTCGCCTGCCTCCACACAGGACGATATGTTAGTTTGGGGGGAAATTCCAGGAAGTCACGGGTGAACAATCAGAAAGGAGGCGTGGCCAATCAGGTGGCTGATTGGTCCAAACCAATTGGACCAATCAGCCACCTGATTGGTCCAAAACTAATATGCTGGGGGAGAGAAGCTATGGGATATTTCTCAAACCATCATGAATGTGGTGCTCTTCAGGAAGCTTAGCGGTTAACACTTGTTCCTCATTTAAAATAACTGTTAACTTAGTCAAAGGTTAAACCAGTGTTTGCACAGAATATACACTGGTGGCCCTCAGAGGAAACGGCCTACTCTGCATTCAAGGTTTAATGCTGCCCACTTATTCTGAGAGTGGTGATATTTTCATTTCTGCTGATTTGTGGTGCAAAATGAATGAATTACACCATCTAATAAAGGCTTGAATTTTTTTTTTATTTTTTATTCTGAGGCATTTTGTAAAAGTGAGAATGAGGCCAGGAGACCTATTCTTAGTCAGACCCAGTGACAGATATATTCGTATGAGCGCTCCTGCCCATGGCCTGCTTTCCCCCTTTGTATTCACTTTGAGCTAACAGTTTACCCACAGCGTCACCTTTTCCTATAACAGGACAGTAAAGGAATTAACTGTTGAGGAGCAGCCAAACCTACCGATGAACTCCTTTCTCATCCTATCCCGCTGCCTGAGGTCCTCTGTCCCGAAGATGAGAGCGTTGATGACACTGAGGAGCGTGACCATGTAAGGGACGTTATCTGTGGCCTGGAGCTCGTTCATAATCACGCTGAAGCGATACTGCTGCGTCTTTACGCCCTGAAGGAGAAACCACATTTGAGATGTGAGAGGAAAGTCAGAATGGAGCTCTGCTAACTTTTCTACAGGTTTAATCCGCTTGCCTTGTAATGTTCCAGGGCGTCAAGGGCCAGCCGATGACCGTCCAGAGAGAACATGCTGAGGGCTGCAAGAAGCTCAAACACCTGCTTCTTCACCATGGTGTTGGAGGTGTCCAACGCTGTGTAGCATAATGATTGCACACATCAGCAAAGGATGAATTCTCCTATTTTCCATATCAGTTTTCCTTAAAATAATTCCCCCGTGTCTACTCTTTCCGCTTTGTGTCCAGACCTAAAGTAAAAGGATTGTTTTGCCGTCTTTGAGGCAACACTACTTGAACTTTGCCCTCTAAAGATCTGTTGCTGTACTGTAGATAAATATGTGTCTGTAGGTGGGGAAATCCAATATTCACAGCACACTGTCACATTACAAATTCAGGGATGTCCCGAAGCGACCCTTAATGACTCATGTCTGCATGTTAAAGCTGAGGACATGCCTGGAAAATTCAGCTTGACAGAATGAGTCACAGAGAACCCTTTAATCATGTGAGCTATGACCACTTTAACACAATATTACAAATGTTACATAAAACACGAAAAAAAAAGGTCAAATCTCCTGCCATTAAAGAGGAGACGGCTTTATTTGAAAGAACTTTTAATAATGAAATATCTGGAACGTTTATTTCCATGTGAGACTGAGCAGAGGCATCAACACGACACTGGGAAAGCGCATTTGTGGTCAACCTTGGGAGAGCTTCCGAATGTATCCCTCGTTTTCTATGATGAAGTGAATCCCCGCCGTCGAGTTCATCACTGCTCGGACGCAGCTGACGCAGGTGAGCTGCAGGAGAGCATCTGCAATGCGAGAGCATCCGCGCCCGGAGAGACGGTCCAGGGCCTCCAGGAGGAGATCCAGCCCGCTTAACTCCAGGAACTGCACCATCCATGTCTGATCGCTGCCTTCCAGGCGGCGCTTCAGCCCAGAGTAGTTGACGACAGTGGGGACTTGGAGCAGTCTGATGCACAGCTCTGGATCAGAATTCTCCAGGTTGGCTTCCTGCTGAGTGTCAGAGTCCTGCGAGGAACCCAGGCGATCCCTGACCGCCGCCCACTTCTTTTTCCCATCTGATTTTCCAGACATTGCTGCTGTATAAACTGCAGGTGGGGAGAAAAAAAGAGAAACATTTACAGTTCTGCAAGTGCCGTACAGATGAAGCGAAACAGCTCTCAGGAAATTCTGCAAGTTGGTAGCGTGCAGATACCGCCTGCCTGCTTGCGCCGACATGCCGTAATCTTGTGTGGCAGAGGGCTATCATTGTTATCCAAACCACAGAAAACAGGCCAAAACTATTCTTTATCGAAAGCAGAATGGGAAACGACAGCTTTGCACTTTAGAAACGAGTAAAAGATACGTCAGCGGCCATCACCAGCTCTGCCAAACATTCCCTCTTAATCCTGCTTGAGCGAGTCTGACTGTCAGCTCATCAGAACTCTGCACAAAGCCAGGCTTGATGGTATTTGGATAACCTGTTCAATATTTTCAACAACAATAAATTAAATGCCAAGTTAGCTGGAATTAAACTGCAACGTTTGGGAGGCGTGCTTGTGAAGAGCTGATACAAAGAAGGAAGCTCACGCACTGATGGGCACACACCGATCCCTAAAAGTCGCCTTTTTCTGGTGTATTCCCATCAATGCAATCCCCACTTTCACCAATCC